TGCGATGTGCCAGTTTAGCTGCCGCCACGGAGTTTAACAAGAGTTTCTGCCTGTATTCGTTAAGTACACACGGAATCTATTTAAGGTATTTGCCTTAGCGTTTCAAACATCTGATTAGGAGTATTTTTGCACGACTTGCGCTTACATAAGTTTTGATCCTATCTAGCTCACTGCTACCGAATGTGTTTTTGAACTGAAAAACAGGTGGGGAATGCCCGATGACAACACCCGAAACATGGGTATGGTGCGGCTGAGGCAGCTCAGGATAAATGAATGGCCATAACATCCACCGACAATGTCAAATGCCAATGCTGAGCGCAGGCACGTTGACGCTCCCTGCCGGGGCGGAACAGAGCCGATGGGCTCGAGGCAGCCGGTGGCAGCGTTGCCGCGCCACCGCGGCCAACCCAAGGGCAATCTCGGCGCGCGCGGCGCGCCGCTGGTCACGACCGCGCCAAGATGGCCGCGCCGGCGCTAATGAAGTTGTCGGCTGGCCGGCTGTCGTGCAGCGGCTGGCGTGTCGGCCCCGCTCGGCGGCGGCGGCGGCAGGCCTGCGGTCGGCTGAGCCGGACCCCCCCCCCCCCCGCCCGCCCCGCCCTCCGCCAGCGCCACCTGGACGGGACGGTGGCCGGGCTCGAACCCGCGTCCTGCCGGGCGGCCGCGGCGGCGTGCTCCCGGGCCACGCAGCCGGCCGGCCGCCGACAGACGCTCAAGGCTGCGAGCCGCTTATCGGAGGAAAACGAGGTTGCAAATGTGGCTGTCTCCCCATTGCTCATTAGCAACCCAGGCTTTACTGTTTCGGTTGACAGACTCATTAATCTTCATGCGGCGCGGCATCGCTGAAAGGATTCCGCGTAAAAATCGCCCCCGCCAATGCCAGATCATGTTGATGCGGAGCCCGCTGCACTCCGATATTTTGGATGCTCACCATATTTTGCAGATGGAGCGATAGCGGCGGGTGACGTCACCCGCAAGGCACTGCGCTTGAGCACCGGTAGCCAGGTGTCACAGCCGCCGGTGAGCGCCGCGCTGGACGCCGAGCTGGCGCTGCTGCCGTTGCTGCGCCGCACCGGACCGCAGCGCCACCGGTGGTCGGTGGAGCTGCCGCCCCGGGCAGTGTGGGACGGTCAGCCGTACCGCAGCGCGCGTCACGCCGCCCGCGGACCGCTCGCGCCACTGTGGAGACGCGACTGGTTCCCCCGATTCGGCGAAAGTGGACTGTGCAGACGCGTGCGCTGGCGGGATCCGGCCTCCACAGGTCGTCTCGCTGCCACCGGGGTATGCAGGCCCGACCACTTGAGTGGGATATGCATGCCAAACCAACGCTCTTAGTCGTGCAGAGCCCGGCTCCGTGCATATCATCTGAAGTTAGAGCTACCAAACTGGTCGCGGTGGTCCGAAATATTTTCGTAGCGATTTGTCATCGTGCACTGTTTGCTCGTGTGCGGGCAGTCTCCGGCACAGGCGACTGTGTGAGCCGGACTTTGGGCGGCCCACCTGATCTGATCAAGGCCTCTTGATTGATTGGATCTCTCGGCCGGTCAGGGGCCAACCTTGTAGCGGAAATTCCTCGGGGGGTTCTGCACTCCAGTTTCGTGAGGAGCTCCGAATGCTCCTGGCTTGGGCGGGCAGCTTGGGACACACGATGCTGACAGTGATAGACCGGTCAATGGCAACTTGGGACATGTCAGCGGTTGGCGTTTTTTTTCGGCCGGGCGTTTCAAATGTGGCACGTAGGCGTCACATCACTTTTAAACTGCGTCATCGGACTGCAAAACCAGGCGGAAACATCGACACTTCACGCAGTGCATCTACAGAGGCTTTTTTTGCTGTAGTACACAGTTCCAGCCCGAATTACCGACTGCCTGGTCTGAAACAAGTCCATCAAGTGGAGGCCACAATTGGGCGGTACCCGGAACGGTGCGGTGAATCCGAGCAAACAAGGCGCGAAATCGATTGGCAGCACTGAGCGGCGTGGCAGATCGCTCTGCCGGGGCGCAGAGCTACTAGCGCTCCGTATCTGTGTGGGAGAGGGCTGGCGGGTCTGGGCCGCTCGCACACCGCCGTCCACCAAATCCCCCCCCCCCCCGCAAGCCGGGGTCCTTAGGCCGCCGGCTGGGCCGCGACAATGACCTTTAGTGTGCAGGCCATGCGTGCGCGCACACACATACATGCCCTCTGTGTCGGCCGGCGTGCGATCCCTTAATCCCGGTCAGCGGCGCCGGCACAATGCGCACCCCTCCTCCAAATCGCATTGGGAGCGGGAGCCAGCGAACATGCCCGGCCGGGCGTCACTAATGGCCAAGTGGCTGCTGTGTGGCGCCCGGCCGGGCCGGAGACGCCGGCCGCTGGCCGTCGGCCTTAATCCGTCCGGCGCGGCCGCGGTCGGCCAGCGGCGGGCGGCGCACCGGCCGCAAACAGACTTACACCGGCCCAGCCGCATTGGCGGCCGCTTACGCACAGCTTAGCGCCGCTCAACCGGCTGTAAATAGCCGGAAAATATGCCCCTCTCTCTCGAAATCAATGGCTGATTCAGAGGGCCCCCATTCCCAGACAGGAGAAGGGCGGGGCGGGGCAGGAGGGCGCGCTGAGCCGCCCCGCCCCCGCTGCGGAGCCGACGGCTCCGTGGCCGGGAGCCGCTGGCGCCGGCTCCCGCGCCGCCACTGCCTGACCTCCGCCGCGCACCGCCGGCGCCCGGCTAATGCGCGTGCAATGAGCCGTTCCGCGGCTGTACAGACGGCGCCTGTTAGCCGGTTGACAGGCGAGAGCGAGCGCGCACAGCGCTGTCACCCATCTGAGCCGGCCGCTCTGCCCGCTCCCGCCCTCTCCCCGGCCGTGCGGACGGGCGGACCGGACCGTCCTGACCGCGTGGAGGTCGCCTCGGTGGCGAGAGGCCTTCGGAGCCGGAGCCCGTCGAGCGGCCCGGCTGGGGCCGTTCCGGGCCGCTTCCCCTGCCGTGGGACGGCACAATGGCGGCGCGCCACCAGGCCGGCGCCGGATTCGGCGCCGGATGGGCGCCGGATTCGGCGCCCATCTCACGTCTGCCTGCAGGGGCGGCCAATAGCTATATCAGCGGCGCGGTGACGGCCCCGCGCGCTGAGCCGGCCCTATCGTCGGCATCGTGGTGCACGCCCAGTCCTGGCGGCGGGGGCCACCTGCGCCCGCCGCCGCCGCCGCTGCAACCGAACGCCGAGCACGGCCACCGCGGCTGTCACCACCGTCGCTACTGCCGCTCCGCCGCCGCCGCTCCGCCGCCGCGCACCGGAGCAGCGACCACCTGCGGACGTGGTGCTGGTGGAGCTGCTGCACTGCGGCCGGCGGCCAGCCGGGGGTCGGTCTGGCCGCTGCTGTGAGACGGCGCTGGAGAGCTCAGGCGGCGGCTGGCGTGCGCAGCCCACTCCGCCGCGGTCCGGTCTCTCCCCCTGCCCTCCCCCCTCCTCTCCGCCGGCTGCAGGGAGGCGGCGGTGACACGTCAATCGCGTCATCAGGCGAGGCCGACGGCGACGGCGGCCGGACGGCCCGCCGCGGCAGGCCCTGTTTACACGCCTCCCGCCTGCCACGCACACGCACCTCACGCGGCCGCGAAAATAAACACACACGCGCACTGGCCGCGGTGGCTGCTGCTCGCACGGCCGCGCGTGCGTCACGTAAACAGGATCGACTCGGGCGCTGCCTAACCGGCAGCGGCGCGCTGTCGGCAAACACAGCGGTGCGGCGGCGTGCGGCGAGTTGGGGCGGGTGGCGGTGCTCGGCGGCCTACTCGTGACCCGTGTGCCCCGGGGAGACAGCGGCGCCCCTGAGCACTGTGGACCGGCGCCGGCGCCGTCAAACGTTGCGCAGAATGCGCCGCGTCTGGGCCGCGGACCGGTGGCTAGGTCGGAGCGGTCCGTCTCGTCCTCACCCTGGACCGGGGCCGCGCTGTCACCGCCGGCTGACGCGACCGCCCGCCAATACGAACAGAACGGGATCGACGATCTACGATGCTCCGTTGTGAAGCTGTTGGGCGTTCATGTGTGTGTTGAGGAGCCGCTCGGTGGTGACAGGCTCGGCGCTTCTGGGCGGGCAGTGCGGAGCGTGTGATGGCGACCGCCGCGCCGGGCGGTGCGCGCCTTCGCCCTGTCGAATGGCGCCGTCACGTGACGGGCCGTGTTGATGCTGGCGGCGGCGGCCGGCGGCGCCCCGCGTGACCTGCCGCCTGCCATTCCGACGACGCCCGACTGCCATCAAACACAAACAGGCCCGAGAAGCTGTTGTCTGCCCGAGTGCAGCTTCTTTATGGGCCGCGGCCGTGCCAAAGCGGCCTGTTCCAGGAGGCGCGGCAGATTTAGCGGACAGTTGGTCTGGCAGAAACGATACCGCCCAGCTAGTGCATTATCGCAGCCGGGCGGCGGCACGCAGTGGGACTTCATTCTCAGCCACTTTATGCATGTCGTGCACAGATGTTTGTTCATGCGGCCGGTCTGTAGACGGTAGTCGTCTGTCTTTAAGATAGCAACGTTAATAGCTTATGCTTTTTACGGATGAGGTAATCAAAACGTTACGTGTCCTAAGATGCAGCGAGGACGCGCATCATCCATCATCCCGAATAACACCCCTACATCATAGTACATAAACACGCTCGTAACTTCCTGGCACATAGCCGAATTAAGTCAACTCTTAAAGAATGAGGCCAGATGTGTCATCCGTGTCGCGCACGGCCATTTTCAGGCCCTCCGTTTCTGCCAGTGCTGAGTACCAGACAGCCCTGTGTGAACTCGCCCGCCGTGTGTTTGTGGGCGGGGGGGGGGGGGGGGGGAGGTGGGGGGTGGACTACGCTCACCGACGGCTGCGTCGAGCCCTTAGTGACGTCACTCCCGTGCTCTGCCTTCAAGCTCCCGGGCGGCGCAGCTGTGGACCTGTCGCTGCCGTGTTGGTGTGGGTGTGGGTGTGGGTGTGGAGCGCGTTCACCGGCACCGGCGTCGAGCCCCTGAGTGACGCCACTCCCCGTGCTCTGCCGCCAGGCTGCCGGGCGGCGCGGCTGTGGACCTGTCGCTGCTGCAGCGCTCCGTCGACCTGCACGCGGCTGCCTACCGGGCGCAGCAGGCCCAGTACGAGCAGCTCTACCCGTCACCCACCTCGTCACTTCGCGGTCTCTCGCCGGTCGGCTCGACGCGAGGTGAGGCCGGCTGCAGGGCGTGTGCGTGTGCGTGTGTGTGCCTGCGACTGCCTCCATTGGCGTGATATGTCGGCTTTTGCGACTCGCGACCTGGCATGGACGACACCAGCAAGGTACAATAACCCTAAAGGGCTTCTGCGCCACCACGTGTCTCTTATGGTGTCACCAGAACAGTTTTTGTATCACATTCTGTCAGTGCTGCGTCTCTCTCTCTCTCTCTCTCTCTCTCTCTCTCTCTCTCTCTCTCTCTCTCTCTCTCTCTCTCTCTCTCTCTCTCTCTCTCTCTCTCGCTCTCTCTCGCTCCTCTCTCTCTCTCTCTTTCGCTCTCGCTCTCTCTCTCGCTCTCTCTCTCGCTCTCTCTCTCTCGCTCTCTCGCTCTCTCGCTCTCTCTCTCGCTCTCTCTCTCGTTCTCTCCCTCTCTTTCCCTCTCTCCCTCTCTCTCTCTCTCTCAGCTAGCCTTCGCCGCAGTCTGGCGTGTCGTGGTGGGCGACTGGTCCTTCTCAAGCCCGATGTCATACTCGGCTGTTAGTGTTTCCCTAACGCCTGGTCATGGCCGGACCTGTCCTCCTCGGTGACGCGCAGCGGTTACGACGTCAAGGCCGGGAGCAGCTGTCCGTCCACGTACGCAGTATTAAGCCCATCCATTTGTCCTGTATGCAAAGTCGACAACTGTGCATGAGCACGATTAACTGACAGCAGGACCGCGCCGGCCTGGGAACGGCCATGCACAAAGAATCGTTGATCGACCGCATTAATTACTTCGTCTGCATCGCGGTCTTGTCTTGTTGGATCTCGAGTGCCGGCGTGTCGTTCCCAATACAGTCACAGTCAGGTGATGTATCCACCGCGACCACTGACGGCCACCGACCAGTGCCTGGGAAGACTGGGGGCCAATGGAACCTTCAACTTAATGCATGCCACGTCGACATCACGCGGACATCGCTGCCGCGAGGTCCGCTGCCCGGCGGCCAGTGTGACAAAGGATGCATTCCCTGGCATGCGAACGACGGGCCCGGCATTATTCACGGCTATGATAATGCACCGGCGTCTGCGCCGTGTGATCCGATGCTATCGCCTCACGTGCAGGAATAAATGCATCCGCGGCCATTTGAGAAGCAAATCGCTCCATTGGTTCGATGGCGGATGATGGGCGGCGTTCGCGGCCGCGGTGACAGGCCGATGCGATGCGGTCACGACTCGGGCGTCGCGGGTCGTGTGCGGTGGCTCGTCTCGTGCATGACTCCATCGCCGCCCATCCCGTGCGGGCGAGCCGTTAGCCCGGCGACTCCTGATTGCTGCTCGTCGTGTGCGGGAACCGCGTCCCGTTCGTGAGGTCATCCCGTCACGTCCAGCGTCGCTGGTCACGGGCGAGTAAGTTGTCAAGTTCATGGGCGCTCGTCGCGCATGGCGAGCGATCGCGGGACGAGCGCGGGGCGCAAGGCCGCAGGACGCAGGACGAGCACGTCTCGTCACTCCGCCGGCCGAGTTGGGATACAGGGTGACCTGACCGAGGCTGTGCCGCGGCCGGCGGCCCGCTCCTGTCACGAGCCGGCCGGCGGGCGGCTCACTCCTCCCTCACGGGCCGGCCGGCGGGCCGCGCGGCGCCATCGGCTGTGTCCGCTGGGGATCGCCGGTGGCGCGGCGTCCCGAGTGCCCCTGGGGAGCACCGCTGACGGTGTGACGGCCCGCCGGGGCCGGAGAGGCCTGCCGACGGCCCCCCGCGCGGTCCGCGCCGCCGGCCGCTCCTCACGCCGCCATAATTGCCCGTGTTGCCTGTTTGCAGTCGCTTTCTCCGGAGCCGGCCAGGCGGCCGGTCGACAAAGGTCGATTGATTTCGGGCCGTCATGGCGCCGGTGCCGGGGCGGCGTTTTTGCGGCCGGTGCCGAGCGTGGCGTCATCGGGCCCCCGCCGGGCGGCGATGGCGCTCCGATTGCAGCCGATTTGTTCTCGGCGCGGGCGGGCTCAGCTCGGGTTGCGCCGGCCTTAATTGGACCTATTGTGGGGGCCGGCGGCCGGCCCGTCCCGGGCGCTCGGCCCGCCCGACGGCCGCGATAAGGCACCGACCGGCCGCCGGGGGCGTCCCCCGCCGCCGCCGCCGCCGGCCCGCATCGGGGCCGGTGTCGCCGGCCGCGGCCCGCACCTCGCCCGTCGGGACGGAGAGCTCAGCTTCCGCTCACTGGACGGGGAACGGTGAGCGGTGCGTGCTCGGCTCACGCTTGGTGCAGGCGCCACTTGCGTTTTGCAAAACTGGCGAAGTAAATCTGGGATTATGTCTGCTTAGACGTCATTAGCTGGCAAACTTGTTTTGGGGTGCTCTTGCTTTTCGGGAAGCTGTTCTGATTAAAATTGCCCCAGGCCTTCGCATGTTGTCATGTTCCGCTTGGAAAATGAGGTATGAGCCAATGAAAAAATAAAAAATCAGAACTCTGTTGCTTGAGTAGTCGTAACATGTTTCATTACCGTCATCATTTTTGCCTTTCCAAGCCAGTACAGTGTGGCTTTTGTTTACCTAAGCCACACCATTAGGTACGCCTGATTGGGTGGTCGCTCATCACGGTCAGCTGGTCACTGCCGAAGACCGGCCGAGCTCGGTGACAGCAAAACCCGGCCGAATCCGTTGCCAAAAGTTGGATAAACGATGTCAGCGGCGCCGCGCTGACATCTGCCTGTCATCTGGACAAGCTCACGCCGGCGGCTCCGGTGACGCGGAGGCGGAGACCGTCAGCTGGCCGGCAGGGTGACACTGGCACGGCTGGGTGTGTAGCTCCCGCGGTCGGCGGGGTGACACTGGCACGGCTGGGTTTGTGTAGCTTCCCGCGTCGGCGGGTGAACACTGGGCACGGCTGGGTTGTTTAGCTCCACAGGGTCGGGGGGTGACGCTCGGGCCGCTGGGTGTGTCGCCAGGTCTCTGCGCAACCCGCTGAACGTCGTCACTGGCAGACCGCTGTCGGACTGACGTCAGTATTGGGCTGTGAAAGCCGCGACGAATAGCGTGGTGGTATAAGGCTGGTCGCAGTCAAGGATTGCATTGGCAAGTTTTGTACGAAACACGCTCCCCAAAATGTGATGCTCAAAACATTTTAGGGCGGTTGAATCGCTGTGAGAAGCTGCGGGAAAAATGCGTATCGCGCCTGACAGGACACGCGCACACGCACGCAGGTCTGCGCTGTCGGGTTCGTCGCCCACGTGCACGCGTACCGGCCGGCGCCAGCGGCCGGGCGGGGCCTCAGCGGTGGGCGTCACTAGTAGCCCCAGCTGCGAAAGCAGCTCAGCGGCGCTGTTCGGTCCAGGCTCGGCACCGGCGGGGCAGTTACCTCCGCTAACGGCCTGTGCGAGGCGGCCCTAAAAGCGGTCCGATCACGCCGGCCGGGTCGCTGATGGACTCAAAACAGGGGCCGTCCGGCGCGGCCGAGCGACCGGCCGACCGTGGGAAGAACCGGTCGACATGAGGACACGCCATGGCACAAACGACGGCCGCAGACGCTGGCCGCACGTTAGGTGCGGTGTGGCTGCTCCCGTCTGACGGCCGCACAGGTTGGCGACACGTTAGGTGCGGTGTGGCTGCTCATGTCTGACGGCCGCACAGGCTGGCGACGCGCTAGGTGCGGTGTAGCTGCTCATGTCTGACGGCCGCACAGGCTGGCGACACGTTAGATGCGGCGTGGCTGCTCATGTCTGTCGGCCGCACAGGCTGGCCACACGTTCGGTGCGGTGTAGCTGCTCATGTCTGATGACCGCACAGGCTTGCGACACGTTAGGTGTGATGTGGCTGCTCATGTATGACGGCCGCACAGGCTGCCGACACGTTAGGTGCGGTGTAGCTGCTCATGTCTGACGGCCGCACAGGCTGGCCACACATTAGATGCGGTGTGGCTGCTCATGTCTGACGGCCGCACAGGCTGGCGACGCGTTAGGTGCGGTGTGGCTGCTCATGTCTGACGGCCGCACAGGCTGGCCACACGTTAGGTGCGGTGTGGCTGCTCATGTGTGACGGCTGCTCAGGGTGGCGACACGTTAGGTGCGGTGTGGCTGCTCATGTCTGACGGCCGCACTGGCTGGCGACATGTTCGGTGCGGTGTGGCTGCTCATGTCTGACGGCCGCACTGGCTGGCGACACTTTAGGTGTGATGTGGCTGCTCCCATCTGACGGCCGCACAAGCTGGCGACACGTTAGGTGTGATGTGGCTGCTCATGTCTGACGGCCGCACTGGCTGCCGACACGTTAGGTGCGGTGTAGCTGCTCCCGTCTGACGGCCGCTCAGGCTGGCGACACGTTAGGTGCGGTGTGGCTGCTCCCGTCTGACGGCCGCTCAGGCTGGCCACATGTTAGGTGCGGTGTAGCTGCTCACGTTCTGACTCTCCGCGGCAATGTGGGGCAGTTTTAGAAATGAACCTCTATTGATTTGGTGAATCGCAAATTGGCCTGCGGTGTTAAAAACTGCTGGAGCATCGAGTTCGCGTGCAACTTTTTCGATCGCATGGCAGCGGGACCCAATACAAAGAAGTGATCGCAAAGAACTGTATCGCTCTTTCTTTAAAAATCCCCACGAGTTTGATTGCGCCACTGAGTGCGGACCCAAGATGGCATATGCCGCACCTGCCCAAGCCCCTAGTATGGGGCGTTTTATGTGGCGTTGTACTGGCCTGGAGCGTGCTGAAGTGTGGGCAGATCTGTCTGTGACTGTACTGTCTGGGTGTTACCTGTCTGGAGTCGTACTGCCTTCGCCTGTGCCTGCGTGGAGCCGCTTTGTCTGCGCCTGCACCTACCTCTCTGTGCCTGTACTGCCTGGGTATAAGCTGTCTGCATGTGTATCTGTCTGGAACCCTACAGCTAAGGTGTTAGCTGTCTGTAGCCGCTGCGTCTGGCGCTGGTTTGAGCTGTGCTGGCCGCAGCCACGGCTGGATGGTCCCGTGTGTGCTGTGCTGGCCGCGGCCGTGGCTGGCTGGTCCTGCGCGTGCTGCGCTGGCCGCAGCCATGGTTGGCTGGTCCCGTGTGTGCTGTGCTGGTCGCAGCCATGGCTGGCTGGTCCCGTGTGTGCTGTGATGGTCGCAGCCGTGGCTGGCTGGTCTTGTGTGTGCTGTGCTGGTCGCAGCCGTGGCTGGCTGGTCTCATGTGTGCTGTGTTGGACGCCGTTGTCGGCCGCTGGTCTTGTGTGAGCTGTGCTGGTCGCAGCCGTGGCTGGCTGCATGGCTGACCTGGCAGCAGGCCCGCTGTCGGCCGCCGGCCATTGTTTCTGCCGCCGCTGGCTGTGGCGGACGACGCCGGTGCCGTATCATGCGGTCTGGGGTCTGAGGGGGGGGGGGGGAGGGGGAGGTTACCACACGCCGCCCGAGGCCTCGCCGTCATGTCCAGTCGGCTGACCCCTGCGTGCTGTTTGCTTGTGCCGCAGGTCTGAGCACGCACGACTACCTCGCCACAATGTCGGCGCTGGGTCAGAGGTCGCTGACCGAGTACCCAGGCGCCCCCAGCCTGGTCGGCTCCGACTTCTCGCTCAATCTGGACGGTGAGTCGATTGCTCCCCCCGACACCACTAAAGCGCCTGCTGCGGGAGACAGCGCCCCGCGTGACCACGTTGAGAGGCGTGTGCGTGACGGGTAGCGTCACGTCACGTCACGTCGCGTTACGTCACGTCGCATCACATTCGGACAGGATGTCGACATTGCAGGGGTTGTCGCGCCGTGCGCTCGGCCATCTTTGTGCTAATGTTTGGTCGAGACAGCGTTCACCACTTTCGCGACCGACAGGTCTTAACATCCAATAGGCACCTTGCACGGGCTGTGATGCCTGGCGTAGTCACCTCCCGTTCGTGTCCTTCGCGGAGAGCTCCACCTCGCGCGCAACCTGGCTGAGATATTACTGGGCGCTCAGTGGCCATGGGGGCTGATGACACTGACGTCAAACGTGGTACCTGTCAGAGATAGGAATTAGTCTCCGCTTTTATTGGCACCCTTCGCTAAAGCCCGTTGCAGGTCTGATAAACTTTTTTGTTTCCTGGATCAAGTGCATTTTTGCTAACGCTCATGGTCTTTCATGCACGGTCTACATTGTTCCAAGTATGCTTACATTGATCAGACTGCCACTGTTTCTGCCTGTTACAAGAGATCTTGCGATACGAGTGCAACACCGCTGACAACGTTCCGGTCTCTGAAGGCGGATGCCCTCACAACGCGGCTCCCTGGTGGGCCTCTGGGGCTTATGTTTTGCCGCGCCGTTGTCCCGGTATCAGGCCATTTTCGTCCCGTTGGGGCCGAATGGTCGGGTTCGCAGTCGTTGGCCCGCTAAGACATATTGTCTTGTTCACACATGGTGAGGGGCAGCGTCCTCCGGTTTTCCTCTCACGTTCTCCTCGTTTCCGTGTTTGGACGCCGACGTATGCCGGACCGGAGAGGACCATCTGAAAATTGCCGCGATTTAACAGGAATTCAAGCGCATTTTACGAGACGCCAGAATGTGGGTCCACGCTATATAAGGGACGGTCTCCCCTGTGCTTGTTCGCTTTTTTCTGGTAGAGCGTTATCACCATCCCAGCCGGCACTTCCCGGCGAGGAATGCCATTCTGTGATGCATAATTCATTTGTTTGCCCTGCTAGGGACGACACCGACTCCTAGCTGATGGCGATGGCCTGGCAGCGCGCAAGGTTTTGTTTTAATCTAGTGGTTTTGTTGCTTTCTCAGTGGGCCAGGTTTGCGTGAAAAAACACGATGCATTTAGTTTGATGTTGAGCCTATTAGTTTCGGTCTTTGACGATGATCCGACCAGCGTTTAATAACGTGCACCCTGCGTAGCTCCGATCGACTTTGCTCTTATGCTAGCCATTTGAGAAGTTTTGCTGATAGAAATCGGACAGTGGTTCTCTATTGATACCGTGTGATTTCCTCATTTCTTCAGCAAACGTACTTCCTAACACATACTTTAAAAGATCTGGAGAAACTATTACATCTACAGCACTTGTGGGCGCGCTTCTAGGCGGCAACGAAAGAACCTATTAAAATACGGAGATGCGGCACACTGGATTACGTGGTTCATCCATCCCTGGAGAACACGGCTGCTAACCGGACCGTTCGTCCATCCCTGGAGAACACGGTTGCGAACCTGACCGTTGCGCCATCTCAGTGGCGGCTGCACCCGGCCAAATCAGGCTTGTGGTCGTTAACACCAAATGATGTTGTATGAGCTATTGGCAAAGTCGTTCCCACTCCGTCTAAAATGTGAGGTGTGTTGGTGTTCCAAGTCATGGGCGAAGTAAGTTGTTGGGTCGCTGGTGTGATAATTTGGTTGCATTGTCATGTACTGTTAACTGCTGTGAGGCGATTAAATCGTTTGCTTTGTTGTTTATGTAGCCATAACCAGCATCTTTGTCGTCATTGGGAAATGTACTTCGTGCATCATCTCATTTCCCAGCTCCCAGGCTCATGATGGAATAAGAGAGATCCGCTGGGTTATTTCGGGAGTCATTTGGCACAGATGCCTTCACCACCTGTTTCAGCGTTCAGAAGGGAAGACATTAAGCTTGTTTGGGACATTTGAGAGGCCAGTGATTGCAACATCTAGGTCATCCAGCCGCCCGTGTGTTCGTCTCTCTCCCTCCCCTACCCTTCCCTCCCTCGCGAACTCTTTCTTTACAGGTCTCAGCATCTCCCCTTTCCTGGCCGCTGCACCGCGGACCAGAAGTTTACCCGGTCACATGCCCACGCCACTTGCGAGCGTTCAGCGCGCAAAAAGCCGCGCAGTCCGCCGTGGCCTGCGATGCTGTATGATTGAAGAAGACGTATGCCGTTTTTACCGGGTCGTCACAATGGCCGGGCGCGGGCCGCGGCGCCGCCGGTCCCCGGATTAGCGCTGCCAGCTGACCCGCCGGCCGACCCCTGATATGATTTAGGCGGTGCGCTCGGGCGACCGGGCCTAATCCGGCGAGCGGCGGCCGGCGGCGGCTCGGGCGACGCGCGGATGACGGGCGGGGGCGCGCGGACGGAGGCCGGCGCCGCCCGCGCCGCCTCCGCCGCCCGCCGCCGCCGCCGCCGCCGGGAGCTGGGTGGTGTCGGAGCCCACCGGCGCCGGTTCGGCCGGCGGCCGCTAAGTGGAGCCAATCGGTCGGCGTGGGTCGGCTGGCCTCGGTCTGGGAGTGACTGCCGGTGACGTGGTGGCACGGCAGCGGGAGCAGGTTGGGCCGCGGCGCGTCCGCGTCACTTCTCTACCGGTACCCCGAGTTGAATGTCTGCCCGCCGCTCCCCCCCCCCTCTCCCTCCCACCTCCCACCTCCATCCCTACGCCGAACGGATATCCTGTGTCTTATGTTGGAGCCCCGCTGGTGTCCGACATTGTGCGATGGTGCTATGCCGGTGCCATGTGTTGTTTGCCTGCCCCGCGCGACGGCTGGAGGCTGGCGGCACCTGGTCGGGGCTTGATCGTAACTGGGCGTGTCGCGCTGCTCGCAGGGTCACGCCTGTCGCTGAGCCCGCGGCACGGCCGCAAGAGGCCGCTCTCCTCCACGTTCTCCGACTCGTTCGACCTCAGCTCGATGATCCGGTTCTCGCCAAACTCGCTCGTCCCACTGCCCGTGATGAACGGCTCGCGCTGCTCGTCGGCCAGCGGCAGCTACGGACATCTGTCGGCAGGTGGGTCAACTAACGCGCCCGGGCGGAGGGCGGGTGCAAATCACCGGTGTTTTCAACAGAGATAGCGAACGGCCTCGCGGTGATAGGCAGACACGGCATGAAATATGCATCGAGCCGTCGCCGCGCGCGCCGACTGCACCGCGTATGCAGCGGCCGCGCAGCGCGCACAAAGCTGACGGGGCCGGGCCGAACCCGGTGTCGCCGGCAGCCGGCGAGGGCGCGGGGCCGGACCGCCGCCGCCGCCGCCGTCATCCGAACACGACCGCCTCCGAGTGTCGGCCGTCACACCGCTCAGCGGGGTACACGGCGCTAATTCTCTGCACGGCGTCTCAATGCCACGACCGCTGACGGGAGATACGTTGGCGCGGGGAGCGGTCAGTGAGCAGGCGCGGACCCCGCCGGCGAGCCGTGGATGATCGCGCTCGCGGGCGGCGGTCAGAGCGGCGGCCTCGACCGCGCCGGCTCGCCCACCGCTCTGATCGGCCGTGACGTATTCCGAAACGGGCGCTCCTTATTAAACTGTCAGCGCGGCGACGGCCGTATAATTGGAGCGGCGTCGCTGCCTGTTGTGACAGCGGCCGTTACCCGGCGGCCTGGTATCGTCGTCACATCTTGGACGTGCATTCCGGTGCCGCCCGCACCGCACTGGGAGCGACGCGACGCGACCGGCCGGCGCGCGCCGACACGCGGATAAATGGCGCGCCGGAGGACGGCACGTGATCTGTGTCCTGGGACGGGGCGGCGACGGACGGCGGTCACGTGATGTGTGCCCGGGGGCGGATCGGCGACGGACGGCGGTCATGCCGTGATCGGACTCGCGATGGCGGGAGGCCGGACAGAGCCACTGCCGCCGGAGTCCGGAGGAGGCGCGCCCGTCAGCCTCCGACCCGGCCCAGGTCGTGTGACCCGTCCGCCGCGCGGTCGTTGGTGTTGATTTTTCTGTCCGCCTGCCGACCTGGCCACAGGAGCGGTCCAGAACGCGTGACCCGCCGCTCTCGCCTGGGGGCTGGTTGGCGGACTCGCCGACGGTGGCGCCATCAGCGACGGCGGCGGGCGGCCGCACCAGCGACACGGCCATAAATCAGTTACGCGGCTCAGTTGTGTTACGGCGTAATCGGTGCCCATCGCTGGATTACAGGCTGGCCAGTCACCAGCGCGCGGGGACGTCGTGGCCGATCGACTGGCCGATGTCGTGTTCAGCGGTGGAGCGGCGGCCGGAACCGCCGGCGGCGCTCTGCTCGCGCAGCGGCGGCTCGACACCCGCGGCGCTCTGCTCACACTACGGCGGCCCGACACCCGCGGCGTCTGCTCACACTGCGGCGGCTCGACATCCGCGGCGCTCTGCTCGCACTATGGCGGCTCGACACCCGCGGCGCTCTGCTCACACTGCGGCGGTCCGACACCCGCGGCGTCTGCCCACACTACGGCGGCTCGACACCCGCGGCGTCTGCTCACACTGCGGCGGCTCGACATCCGCGGCGCTCTGCTCACACTACGGCGGCTCGACACCGCCAACCGCTTCCCGCGCCGTTTAGATGCGGTGCTGATTGGAAGGCGGCACCTGTGAATTAGATGCACGGGAGGAGATAATTGGCATGCGGGCGAACACCGCTGTCACTTGATGAATGGCTGCAGGACAGAACTGCTCTGGATGTCGCTCTCACTTCGATGCATCGCGTGATGCCAGTTGGCGCGCTGGAGCGGCTTCATGACGGCTAGATTGAGCCGTCATCCGAGACAGGCGGCGCGGATTGGCGGCCGTTGCGTGACGGCGTCTCCGGCTGAGCCGCTGACAACGGGAGCTGGTGCCGACGGCAGCTCGTTTGAGGGCTGGTCACCGGTAGCCCGGGAGCGCACACCACCGCCACTGAGGCATCTGTACATGGAGGGCTTATGATGCAGGGACAGAACGCAGTGCGGACAGCAGAAGGTGTGATGGAGAGTGGGAAGCCTCGGAAGTCGTTCTTTAAAATGTTTGCCAGTTTGAATCAGGGTGCATCCGGCACACACCTGTTTTGGATCGGTTCCATCGGGGCATGGCGCCGCAGCTCTGTCGGGTTTGTGCCGGGCCTGTTGTGGCACACATCTGCATCTCTGGGCCTCGGGCCGTTTGGCCGCGTGTGTTTGACCCTGCTGCAAGGTCAGCCGGGCTCTTGTGACCGCGGTCGGGGCCGGGGGGACGGCGGGCTGTTACATTATACCCGAAAGCAAGCTACATAGCGTGTTCGTGTGAACCGATGTGCCATTCTAATAGACACGTGCGGAACATGTGCCATTCTCAAAGTACCGCACGCGGACGAAACTAGTCATGAGCTATGACGTCATGATGAGCTATGACGTCATCCAAGTCATGATCTTTCGGAGCAGTGCATTGATCGATGCGCTGTGCTCGACCTTGACTAGCGATCACGTCATCTAACGTATGACACCATGCATCTGAACCCCAGACCGAGGTTCACGCCACCGACGTCAGGCCCCTGAGCGCGCCCGCCCCACTCACCGTAATCCCCTGCTGCGCCCCCAGGCACGGCGGGCGCCATCAGCCCGGCGCTGGGCATGCACCCGGGCATGCCGCCGGCCCACCTGCAGCAGCTGCAGGCGCACCTGATGTCGCGAGGCTCGCCGTACCTGGCCGCTCAGGCGCACTCGGCCTCACTGCTGCCGGCGGCGGCGGCGGCGGCGGCGGCAGCGGCGGCGGCCGCGGCGCATGGCCAGCACCCCCTGTTCGGCATGCCGCCCTACACGGGCCTCACGCTCGACAGGAAGGAGGTAGGTGGCCGACGGTGGACTGCGAGCGCCGGTGATTGCTGGCGGCTGCTCCCGTTCGGGCGGCGGACTTTCCGGTGTTTGCATCCCACAGCGGCCTGTCTGCGATGGGTAGGACTTGTCAGACAGTGATGGTGTCGGAGCGGCCGTGACGTCGGCTGGCTGACCGGTGCCGATATGGGCTCGCATTACGAGCGGCGCTCTGATCTGCCGCCTCCCAGCGTTGTGTAATCGGCGGCCGGGCGGGCCCTGATCGGGGCCTGGATCAGGCCCGCGGCGCCAGCCGACCTCGCCGTCTCGCTGCGCCCGGCCAGCCCCGCCTCGGCCGGCGAGCAGCGGCCGCCGCCGCGGAGGCGTGAGATGCGGGCAGGCCGGACGACCGCGCGCACCGGCCGCTGACGAAACACGGTCCGGCCAGGCGCGGGCCTGGTGGCTGAGCTGTTCCAGATTCATGCTCGGCTCTGGACGGCTGCGAAGCTGAGTTTTGGGGTCAGAAGGAGGTGGGGTGGGGATCGAGACGATCGTCTGCGTTGGCGTCCAATCAGGTGTCTGGCAACCGAGCGATCTCTATACCCGACTTAGAGGAAACCGCGCGCCTGGTCGTGCCCATGCAGACGGCTGGTCATTATTGTCGCCCGACGAGGTTTTGAAGGGGACGTGGATTAATATCAACTCAAGCATTTTCCGTTTTGTTAGCCTAGCGCGTAAGTCATTACCGTCAAACACACTTGTCAGCAAGCGACATCTCCTGGCGTAGCTCGTCATCCTGGCGTAGCTCGTCCCAGCCGGGTCATTTTTCACCCCGGCTGATACGAAATCAGCACCACGAAATGAGCTGGCTGGCTGGCGGGCGGCGGCCTACCCTCGGGCCGCCGCAGCCAGGGCGGCCTGGCTAAATCTGTCACCTGCCGCGCCCGCCCTGCGGTGCGTCTCCTTCTGCGGTGCCCCGCCCGGCCTTGGCCGTGTATCCGCCCTTGCGGCCGGCCGCGCCACGCCAGTGACACATCCGCGCCTCTCATTGACTATTCATACACTGTTTACGCGAGTCGCGCACCATCGATCACCATCACTCGCGGATTTCGTAAATATTTCTGGCTAATTAATCTGTAACTGGGGCCGGGGGGCGCCGCCGCCGCCGCCGCCGGCGCGTCCGGTCGGCGCGTCGGCGCGTCGGCGCGGCGCGCGCCCGTCACCGGCGCGTTTAGAACCGCCCGGGGTGTGGCCGGCCGCCGGGGGCGTACCGTCCGACACGCCAATTACCGGCGTCGACGCGGCCGGCGCGGCGGTGCGCTCAGTATGCGGCGGCACGGCCGGCCTGCCGATCGGGCCGGCGGCGGCGGCGGCGCTGGCGCGGGCAGGCTGAGGCGTCGGCACCTGCGGCTGATGACCGGGACGCCAGCGGGAATAACCCGGGCTGCCTGACGGCTGGCCGGGAGATCCCTGCGCTGTGTGGGTTTGTTCTGGGTGGAAGCGGAGTAAACTAGATGGCACCCCTCTCGTCGAGTGGTATGCGACATTTCCCACCCGCCGATTGGGCTGGGCGTAATGGGTACCGACTACCGGTCCCTCCCGCCAGCTATAGTCGGACTGGCCAGCCCCAAACCCGCTTACGTAGTTGGAGCGTCTTTCCATTAAAAAAGCGTTAGTAGGTAGCTGTACAGGCCTGTCATTAATCGGGCGTTCTGTTAAGCCGCTTACACTGCCGGACTGACATGTAGTGCCCGTCTGACAGAAAACAGCGCAAATGCATTGCAAATTACGACCATCCCTGAAACGACCCGCTCAGCTATCTCAGTGAGCCTTGTCGTTTGTTTATACGTACATCTGCACCTTTCCATGACGGCGTCCTCTTTAGGCCACGTCCTCTTTACGTCCTCTTGACGGTCAGCTGTCGTCATCTGGGCCGATTAGGCGGTCTGTTGACGCCGCCAGCAGTGGCAGCGCAGCCGACGCCGCCGGGACATGTTTGCGATAAACACGGGTCACGCCGGGCGGCCGGGCAAGCGGGGCGGCGCGAGCGCGCCTCTGCAGCGCGCCCAGGCCGGCGGGACCCGCCCGCGGCAGGGGGCCGTCATGGGTGCCGACGCCGCAGAGCTGGACCATGTCCTGTGTATGTGGGCGGATATCGCCGAAGATTAACCGGTGCAACCGGGCTTGCATGCCGCGTGGTGTCGTGGCGACGACCGTCAACCCCGGATCGAATTTCTGAATAACGGGAGACGTTGATCGCGTGATGACGCGCCTCGCTCTTCGCTTCGGGGGTATGTTACGCCTCGTGGCGTTTGTCGTGCGGAGCGGCACAGCCGCGGGTGCCATTTGACATCAGTGGTCGGCGTGTTAAATCAAACCAAAGTCATCGTCGAATCAAATAAGGGCCATGGAATGATGAGCAAACCTACTAGTCAACTGGCTTGGACAGTAAACTGCAGACGGTTGATGTGGACCAGAAAGAACACGCCAGATATGGGCATCGATCGAGCATTGCACTGACCATGCGGACCCCCGACTCTGTCCTGACATGAGCGGCTCAATGTGTCTCCCCCCTGTCTGAGCGACCTCCGTCGCTCTCCCGACAGAAGCGGTTCAATGTGCCTCCCCCTGTCTGAGTGACCTCCGTCGTTCTCCCGACAGAAGCGGCTCAATGTGCCTCCCCCCCCTGTCTGAGCGACCTCCGTCGCTCTCCCGACAGAAGTTGCTCAATGTGTCTCCCCTCTGTCTTAGTGACCTCCGTCGCTCTCCCGACAGAAGCGACTCAATGTGCCTCCCCCTGTCTGAGTGACCTCCGTCGCTCTCCCGACGGAAACGCCTCAATGTGTTTCCCCCACTGTCTGAGTGACCTCGCTGACTCCGTCTCTGTCTCCCGCCGACAGGAACGGCCCAGTGTGTCTCCCCCACTGTCTGAGTGACCTCGCTGACTCCGTCGCTGTCTCCCTCCGACAGGAGCGGCCCAGTGTGTCTCCCCCACTGACAGTGACTCCCGGCCAAAGCCGCCCGGGACGTCTCCCCACGGACGGCACGCGCTGACCCCGCCTCTGTCTCGCCTTCGCCAGGAGCAGCCCAAGGTGTCTCCGGACACGTCGACGCAGGAGGGCGCGTCCCGCGGCGTGACGGTGAAGCGGGAGGTGAGCTCGACCAGCGGCGCCACGCCGGAGCGGACCGACGACGAGCCGCCCGAGGACTTCATCGTCACACACTGCGACTGGGAGGACTGCGGACGCGACTACGACCTGCAGGCCGACCTCGTCAAGGTGAGGACAACAGGGACCTGCTGGCCCATCTCGTCAAGGTGAGGACAACAGCGTCCTGCTGGCCGACCTTGTCAAGGTTAGAACACCAGCGTCCTGCTGGTCGACCTGGTCAGGGTGAGGACACCAGCGTCCTGCTGGCCGACCTCGTCAAGGTGAGGACAACAGCGACCTGCTGGCCGACCTTGTCAAGATGAGGACAACAGCGACCTGATGGCCGACCTTGTCAAGGTGAGGACAACAGCGTCCTGCTGGCCGACCTGGTCAAGGTGAGGACGACAGCGATCTGCTGGCCGACCTCGTCGAGGTGAGGACAACAGCGACCTGCTGGCCGACCTTGTCAAGGTGAGGACAACAGGGACCTGTGGGCCGACCTTGTCCAGGTGAGATCTGCCAACCGCTTGAGAGGCGGATGTGGTACAGGCGGATATTCCTGGGGTTGGAACGCGGCGAATGCGTGACGGGGCGGAAATCGTGGGGGAGATCGTGGCGGAGATCGCGGCGCCCTAACAATAACGGAGACCCCGAAAACCCTCCACTCTCGCTATATGGACTCAAATCCCACAATAGCCTGGCCAGTCGGGAGCGAGGGGTTGAAGCCACTGGGAGCAGGGACGTCGCCGGGATGAAACGCCCGGGATGGCAAGTCGTTGCTCAAGTGGTGGAAACCGCTAGGTTGGGAAGCTGAATTGTGGACAAGGTAGGATCGTCGCTGGCGCCAAGGGACATCGCGGGTTTAAGAGGAATAGTATCTGCCCCTCCCCCCTAGCTACGTTTCTGGGCCCGGGAGCTTTGCGTGCGAGGGCGGACGACCAATGAGCGAGCTCATACCACCGCATCCGACGATGCTCCTCAAGATGGCGGCTCCACTTCCGATCTTGACCGCACCATTTGGTTGGGACGCCGTCTCCCGGGTCGCCAGCCGCCTCAGCGCTGCGGGACGGCCCTCCTGCCGGCGGTCGGACTGGCGAGGGCGCAGGCGGGGTGCAGAGCACGGCCGATAACGCCACTCAGGTGGCACCCGAGCCGCGCGCCTGCCGGCCAGATGCCTATCGCGAAATCCTTTAAGTGCCTTGTCCCGCGTCGCCGAGAGCTATTCCGGTTTCGTATTCAGGTGCGCGGCTAATCAACGACTGCCGGGCCCGAGCGGCTATGAATGGCCGGCGGCGTGGGCGCGCGGGAGCCGCGCGACGCCTCACACCCTGCTCCGACATGGAGAAGCACTTGCCGAGAGTGTATCCAGGAGGCCAGTGCCAGGCTGCCTGCTGCTGAGCTGCGGGCCCAGCTGAGCTGCGGGCTGCAGGCCCTCCGGTGCAAGGGTGGCCGGTAGCGGTCGAGCAGCGGCCGTTCCGGACGGCGGCCATGTTTCCCCCGCCGCGCCGGAGCGATGTGTATCGGGCGCCGCCCGCGCCGCGCCGCGATTGTCGAGCCGCCCGCCGCGAACGCCGCGGTGCGGGCCGTCCTCCAGTTCGGCGCGGCTCCGTCTTCCGGGCGCACGTGGCGGCGGCTCTGGCTTCGGCTGCGGGTCCGGCGCCACCCGATCTGATCCGATCCGATCCGATCCGATCCGAGATCCGATCCGGTTTGATCCAATGTCGGCGCCGACTACGGCCGCGGACCGGCGGCGGCTTGCGGCCGGTCATCCGTCACTGTCCACTTGCTGGACCGCCGAGCCGGCCGGCTGGCCGCGGTGGCATGCAGCGCACCCGGCAGCGGCGGCCGCGGCCGACCGTCCGCCGCCACCGGCCCTGCACGTCGCGGGGAGGACGCTGACGTCGCCCGAGTGTCGGCGCGACCGACTCTGCCGCCTGGTGCCGCTACGACCGCCCCGGAGCGACGGCACAGCCGCCAACGCCGCCACCGCCCTCTGCGTGTCGGCGCGGACCAACCACGGCCGCGACCGCCGCCGGACGGGTGTCAGCACGCCATCCAGCGCCGCCGAACGGGTGTCGGCGCGGCCGCCGCCGCCGCCGCGTTTTGTCATTTTGAAAGTTTTGATCACAACAATCGGGCCGCCGGCCGGTAAAAAGGCGACCGACCGGACCGTGCTTGCGATCCCATCATCGGGGTCGCTCCGACGCGGCCGCCCAAAAACGGCCGCGCGCCGGCCGCGGCGCCCGCAAAAACAATCACGCCCTGCGAATAATGATTTGCGTTTGTAAATGGGGTGACGGCGGGGTGCCGCGCGCCCTGCCCGGCCGCCGGCCCATCTACAGCTCCATTACTGTGAGCCGCGCGAGGGCCCGGTCGCCGATTTTCACGGGTGGTTAGGATGGCCGACGGCTCTGCAGCCGGCACGCTCCGTGGGCCTGCCGTCCACCGCGGCCGTTGTGCGCTGTGGCTACTGAGGTTCGCCCCGCGCGGCGTTTCGACCCGGCGCTTCACTACGGTGTTGTTGGATTTCCGTCTTTCGGACGTGCGCTCGCTGTATTTGGTTACTCCGTGCCGAGATAGGAATGCACGGCCAGTTTGAGGCGCGCGACTGGCGCTGGCTACTGTGCATGTGCCTTGCCGCGCTGAGGCGTTCGATTCGTATGCGTCCCGGGCCACACAACAGGAAGAGCCTTGAGGCTCGTCCGTGAGTGGGGTGCTGCGTGCATGGGGGCTGATTTGCGCGCCAGACAGGTGCAGATCATTTTTAGATAGGCGGCGCACCGTTCCAACAGACGGGTTCGATCCAACTTGGTATGTTCTGTCACGCTGTCATTGAGGATAAAGAAAAGTTCGCGCTGTATTTGGCCGCCGAAAATTGTTGGCAAAATGTAAAATGTTGACATTCGTTCCACTTTCGACCTGGCATGCCTCCATCTCACGATTTGAACTTCACGCTGACAGCAGCGCCATCTTATTAATGGTTTCCGTTTCCGTTTAAGATATCACATCCGTCTTCTCTCAGACGGCACGCTATTGCCAAATTTGGTAACGACACGTCACTTCGTCTTTTACATGTGACGCCACCGTCACATTTAAAACATTACGTCCCTATCACATCTCAAGCGGCATATCACCGTTTATATCAAGACTATTGTCACGTTTAAAACGCTCCATCACCGTCACATTTCAAACGTCACGCCAGCATCTCATATTGAACGTTACGCCACCGTCTCATTTCAAACGTAACCCTCGCTTTGCATTTCCAACGTCACGCCACCGTCACATTCTGGAGGTGGGGCCCGGCTGGTGTGGCCGATGCGCCGCACCACCGGCGTGCGCCGCAGGGCGTGCGGTGCGTGCCGGCGTGACGGGCCGTGCAGCGGCTCGCTCGGTGCGCGGCTGTCAGGCAGGTCCCGCCTGCCTGCCCCCGCCGGGCCGGCCTCATCAGATACGGCTCCAGTGCAGGCCCACGCACACCCGGCCCGCCGCCGGCCGCCGAATCCAGACGCCGGAGCGGCGGAGGGGGGGGAGGGGGGGGGGGGCGTTACGCTCCAGACCCTGGGTCCGCGCGGTATGAGCTGTGACTGCGCATGATGTGGTCACTGAAACGTCGTTATGGTGATACCCGGGATCAACGGTGCAGTTTACTATTTGATTGAGGGTCTCAGCTCCCTTCCACGGCTTTGAGAGGAAAAGTGGGTCAAATTCTAGTAGGAACCCATTTCTGTTTATTCTCGATGGGGCGGAGAAGGTTCGGCTATTTCCCCTGCCTATTCCCCAGCTTTTTTTTGCGAAACTGCGTCGCTGCTACGGGTCTAGCTCATGGCTGGCGACTGTCGGAGCTGCCGGCTCTGGCGACTGTCGGAGCTGTCTGGTTTGTGTGTCTCCTCTCACCCCCGCAGCAAATAATTTCGATAGCGTGCACACTGACGTGACCAAATAGACTGATGTGTGTGTGTGTGCGTGCGTACGTGCGTACGTGCGTGCGTGCGTGCGTGCGTGCGTGCGTGCGTGCGCGTGTGCGTTTACGTGTGCGTGTGCGTGTGCGTTTGAACCAATGCGTCGCACTGCCAGAGGAGACTACGCACTAGTTGCCACGTCACCCGCGCTCAGTCGCCCGTCCTTGATCCACAGCACGTCAACAACGACCACATATCGGCCAACAAGAAGTCGTTCAGCTGCCGCTGGAAGGACTGCCCCCGGGAACAGAAGCCGTTCAAGGCCCAGTACATGCTGGTCGTCCACGTGCGCACCCACACAGGCGACAAGCCCAACAAGTGCTCGGTGAGAATTATCTCCACTGTTTGCTGTGATTTGCATGCATTGAAGAGGAAGGCGATGGGCAAGCGCCTTGCGTAGTCGTATGGGTTCTGGGTCCAAGCATGCGCTCCGTCGGCCAATACTCAAATCGCGTGTCATACGGTATATTACATTTTATGGCGTGTGCTCCTGTTCCACTGAAAACTTAACTTTATCTCGTTTAACGTGACAACGTGCTCACTACTTGCACTGAAAGCTGCCTCTGCGCTGCACTGCCGAGCGATATGATGCGGCGACAGTTGGGTTAGTCGGCCCGGACGGGTACCGTGCCTCGCCTTAATGTTGGGCTGGTCTGCGCGGGCCGGTACCGTACCTCGCCATAATCCGCCGTGGTCCCTGCCGAGGTCATCTCACAGCCTTACCTCAGACCGGGGAGTCGGGGTCCCTGCCGAGGTCAGCTCACAGCCTCATCTCAAACCGGGGAGTCGGGGTCCCTGCCGAGATCAGCTCACAGCCTCATCTCAAACCGGGGAGTCGGGGTCCCTGCCAAGGTCAGCTCACAGCCTCACCTCAGACCTGGGAGTCGGGGTCCCTGCCGAGATCAGCTCACAGCCTCATCTCAAACCGGGGAGTCGGGGTCCCTGCCGAGGTCAGCTCACAACCTCATCTCAGACCTGGGAGTCGGGGTCCCTGCCGAGATCAGCTCACAGCCTCATCCCAAACCGGGGAGTCGGGGTCCCTGCCGAGGTCAGCTCACAGCCTCCTCTTAGACCGGGGAGTCGGGGCCCCTGCCGAGGTCAGCTCACAGCCCCATATCAGACCGGGGAGTCGGGGTCCCTGCCGAGGTCAGCTCCCAGCCTCACCTCAGACCGGGGAGTCGGGGTCCCTGCCGAGGTCAGCTCCCAGCCTCATCTCAGACCGGGGAGTCGGGGTCCCTGCCTAGGTCAGCTCACAGCCTCATCTCAGGCCGGGGAACCGGGAACCTGGACCGCCGACTATCGTATAAGGTCCATCTTAAAACGCTAAGCAAAAGCTGTTTAAACCTATGGACATACTAAATTGCGTTTCGCGCACATCGTATGGGGGAGATAGGAGCACGCTTTTGCTTTTATATCGTTCAATCATGCATTCTAAGCTGGACTATGCATGTTTTTTATGACAGCGCGTGTGAGTCTACCAAACGCGTCCTCGACACTGTCCATCACACCGCTTTACGTGTAATCACATGGGCGTTCCGCACATCACCTGTCGTAAGCCACATGGTGGAATCACACGAGTCGCCCTTGTCAGCGAGGAGGAACATGCTCGGTATGCGCTATGCACATAAGTTGCGACAGTTCCCTTCCCATCCGGTGTATAACGCAGTTTTTCACTTTTTCACGGCCTGCTGTGCATTTTCGGCGCAGTGCACCTCGGGCATATGCTGCAACATTTGGCCTCCGAATACAAGCCTTGCTGCGAGAAAACGAAATTCCCATTCGAAGGTTGAAGCGGGTAGGTCATCTGGCCACTGCTCCCTGGCGTTTGACCTCGCCATCAATAGATACGTCTTTGGCCGAAATGAAAAAGAAGGTCGTCTTGCCAGATATAATGAGATCGAGGGCACTTGAGCGTATGACGTTATATGACGGTCACACACTTACTTACACGGATGGATCTAAAATTTATGGCGGTGTGGGTTGTGCGTTTGTGAGCGGCAGCGTCATCCGGTGGTTTTCTCTGTCTCCACGCGCGTCGGTGTTCACATCGGAATTGGTAGCGATCACCGGGGCGCTGTGTTTCATTGGAGTCAGTGACGAACCTTCACATCTGGCTTTGACAGGCTCTCTGATCAGTGTTCTTAGTCTGAGGTCTTTTTATGCATCATGTCCCCTTGTACAGGATATTTTAGAACGTCTGACTCAACTGGATCAGGTCCGAAAGAAAGTCGTCTTGTATGGGATCCCCAGTGACATTGGAATCGCCGGCAACGAGGTGGCTGACGCGGCTGCAAGGCGAGCAGCGCTGGCTCCATGTGTACGCCCTCTTTCTATCCCTGCTAGAGATTTTTATCCTGTAATAAAAACCTTCTGCAGAACGAATGGCAGCGTTGTTGGGATGGGACAAATGAAAATAAGCTCAGAGCAAGAAAACCCGAGCTAAGTCAGTGGTTATCATGTTATCGCAAAGTCAGGCAGGAAGAGGTGGTGCTCTGCAGACTACGTTTTGGGCACACGCATGCAACTAACGGTCATCTGCTGCAAGGAGCCAAAAGGCCTATTTGCCATCGATGTGTTGCTGTTCTCACCGTTCGTCATGTGCTCATATCGTGTCCGCGCATCGTGGGAGAACGTCGACGTTCCTTTGGACAGCGTGACTTGCCCATGACGCTCTGTGACATTTTAGGAGACAACTCGCGCTTTCTTGAATCTAAACAAGTCTTTGTATTCCTTACACATGTCGACTTCGGGACTCTTTACGCGGTTCATTAGTTAGGTAAAACAAAACTCATTATGGGCGCGAAATGACCACTGCAGTCGGCGCGCCCGAAAACACCAATAAACAACAAGGGGAACCGGGACCCCTGCTGCCATCGCCGTCAGTCGCTGGCGCCAGCTGCCCCGCTGCAGGATCAACCGGCAGATTCAAAGCTTAAATTTTAGGTTAAAAGTTAATGCTGCGAGGTGGAATTAAAACGAGGTGATCGACGGAATGAGATCGAAATTGAAGCAGACAGATGTGATGTAACCAGGCAGTGGGCACGGCATTCTCATGATAAATCCGATGATTGCTGAGTATGGTCGTTGAACCGCGCCTCCTGTTGAATCGAAAGTCGGGTATTTTCAGCAAAAGAGCCCATAGCTCAGACAGATGTGTTTATAGTCTACGTCAGCGGCGTTCGTGCCATCCGCCTCCTCATATCACATCAGAGCAGGCGCTCAGGAGCGGCCGCACGACGGCGAGACGGGGCCGGCTAAAAATGGCCCCGACGCAGCGCGAGGCAACAGAGCAGCCAGCGACGCTTGTGACGCGGCGATGACAAATTGCCACCCGGCGAGGAGGCCGAGGCGCCGCATAACGACCCAGATGAGCGGCGGCGCCCCGTCCCCCACCCCGCCGGCCTCGATCCAGCAGGGGCCGGAACACCACCGGCGGCATGGGTCAAATCATCCTTCGGAGCGGCCACACCGCCGCCGGTACTGACCAGACTACCGCCGGTGCGGGCCACACCTCCGGCGGCATGGGTCAAACCATCCTTCGGAGCGGCCACACCACCGCCGGTACTGACCAGGACTACCGCCGGTGCGGGCCACACCACCGCCGGTGCGGGTCACACCACCGCCGGTACTGACCAGACTGCCGCCGGTGTGGGCCACACCTCCGGCGGCATGGGTCAAACCATCCTTCGGAGCGGCCACACCACCGCCGGTACTGACCAGACTACCGCCGGTGCGGGCCACACCATCGCCGGTACTGACCATACTAGCGCCGGTGCGGGCCACACCACCGTCGATACTGACCATACCATCGGCGGCAGTGCAGCCGGCGCCGGCTGCCTGCAGCCATGGCAGCATGGCACGCCCAGTCTGAGATGGTGACTGTGAGCGGGTCGTTTTACCGTCCGGCGCCGGCGGAGCGACGGCCGCCGCTGTCTGTCGGCTCCAGACGCAGCGCGATGCGGCGGGATGGTTCGCTCCCGCCCAGCAAGCGCGCGCCGACACCAGCGTGGGGAATGGAGCAGGGGAGGGGGCGGCGGCGCGTCTCTGGCCCGTGTTTATTTTGGTAGGCGCGGCGGCGGCGGCGGCGGCGGTGGCCGTGGTCGCTCGATTGTCCCTGGGCGGACGGTTGACTGTCGCTGTCGAGTGGCGAAGAGTGGTGCGTCTTGACGTCGGCTCGGCCGCCAACGCGCTCCGCCCCCGCCCCCGCCTCCGCCCCCGCCCCCACCATCGCCACCGCTACCATCACCGCCACCCCCCACCGCCACCGCTACCGTCACCGCCATCGCCCCCACCGCTACTACCGCCCTCGCCCCGCCCCCGCCACCGCTACCGTCAATGCTACCGCCACCGCTACCGTCACCGCTACCGCCATCGCTACCGCCGCCGCTACCGCCAACGCTCTTGCTGCCGTATGTGATGCGGCGGCGCGGGATGTTCAGTTCATCGCCGGGCTCGGACCGCGGCTCGCCACTCATTTGCGCGATGTTCTCACCTCGCGGCGGCCGTCGCGATCCGTCTGCACGGTTCGCAGCACCACAGCCGCTCGAGCATGTCACTTACACAGTCACTGGTCCCGCTACCGGCGACCCCGGCCGTCGACGTGTCAGCAGCGCCTGACTCGGACTGGACTTCTGGCCTCGAGGGCCGCGCTGGAACATACTCTCTGTTGTGTCCCAGCCGATGTTGGCGGCTCGGGGTGCCCGTCGTACTCCACCCGAATCCACCCTGTGTGCCGGCTGCGGTTGCATGCGGGTGCGGCCAGCCGTCCCCTCGTTCGTGGCACGGACCGGAGCGGCGGGCGGCGGACGGCGGGCCGGTGATGGGACGGCCGGGTGCGGCCGCACGTGCGGCGCGCTCCGCCGCCGAGCCCGGGTCGCCCTCCCGCCGGCTCCGGTGTCGCGCCGGCCGCCACCGTCGGCCCCAGCGCCCGTCCGTCACCGAGAGCCGGCAATGGCGCGCGTCGACGACCGATCGACACCGGCGCCGGCGGCGCGCCACGGACGCCGCGGCGGTAACAGGCGTGGCGACGGAGCGCCGCTGCCCGTTCCGGTCCGCCCCGCCCGCTCGACAGCCTCGCTGCGGGGCGGACCGTGCACGTGGCTCAATTGCTCGACGGACGGTGTGTGGATCACACCACGAGGGGGTCCACCGCTGTGAGGGCCTGCCAAGAGCGCCGGCGGAATGGTGGCGCTGTTTGGCGTCGACGGCCGGTCGAGCTGTTGTCGAGAGTTGCCTCCGTAAAACCGGAGCCGACGTCCGTCGTCGGACGCGGCTGCTGCGGCGGCCGACGCTCCGTCGCTGCCGACCGCGCTGTCCTCTCCGGCAGCCGACGCCAGCCGGGCACCAGCTGCCGGCCCGCCGGAAGCGCCGCGCGGCGGCGCCGGCGCAAAAACGGCGCGCGACGTGGTGCTGGCGCAACTCGACGCGTCGCCGCTGTGGCGGTATGCGAGCGGCGCGTCGCGGTCGGCGCCGCCTCGACGAGCGACGGCGCGAGCGTCGGACAGCTCTGACCAGCGACAACAGCTCTTACCAGCGACGACAGCTATGACCAGCGGCGGATAGCTATTGCCAGCGGCGGAGAGCTCTGATCAGCGGTGAATAGCTTTGACCAGCGGCGGACAGATCTTACTAGCGACGACAGCTCGTACCAGCGACGACAGCTCTTGCTAGCGGCGGACAGCTCTGATCAGCGGCGGGCAGCTCTGACCAGCGGCGGGCAGCTCTGACCAGTGCTGGCCGCGGCGTCCGTGCCGGTGGGCCGAGCGAGCTGCGGAGAGCGCCGGCGTCTGGACAATGAGCAGGGCCGCGGGCCGCGCGAGTCACGCTTCTGACAGAGACGTCTGAGGCGGCGGCGTGCGGCGGTGAGGGGGCTGCCATGATCGCCGCCGTGGCTCACCACCGGCCCGTTAAACTTTAATGAATAATAAACTGGCCGACAGTGGTCCCGGCCGGACGGGTAACGAGCCCGGCCGCAGGTGTTGCGGCTTGTCGGGACACTGGAGACGTCTGGCTGGCGTCGCCGGCTGAACAAGGTGCCATCGCGCGGCTTCGCTGCGGCCGGCGGCGGCGCGCAGAGACCGGCGCCGGTGAGCCGCAGGACTCGGCGGGGTCCGGCCCGGCGCCGCCCCCGCGCGCCAGGTCGCTCCCAGCGGCGCGGGATGCCACGCTCGACCGCGCAGCCGGCGGCCGCCGAGGCGTGCCGGTTATGGAATGATATCGCTCATTTGCATCGAGCCATGAAACACTGCGGGGCTAAATTATATCGGAATCGAAACAGGCCGGCGGAATTGAGACACCCCGCCTGGTGGACGGATATGGATGGTGTGTGATTACATCATTCTTTCCTTTGGCGCTGGCCGAGCCGGCGTGACTGGTAAAACCCGGCCGCCGACAGCCGTGAATCATCTTTTGTTATGGGCCCCACGCCGTCGTTAAACATGGCCAGGAATTCAGCGTCGCTGCTCGCACGCCGCGCTAATGTTCGCTCGGCTGAGTTATCGACCGCCGCGGACTGGCCAATATGTGACTGAAATGTGAGGCTGATCTTGTCACTGGCGGCCGCTGTTTAACACAGATGTACGACGGCGAACGTCCACCACAGGGGAGCCGAGCCCGGCCGCTCCATGGCACCGACACCTTTTATGGCTAAATGGTTCGGAATCCGTGTCGAAGCCGGCCGTTAACTGATCCCACAAAACGATTGAAATATATTCCCGGCCTGGGAATCCGTTTGATTGGGCTCTGAATCGTTTTGAAGAATGTCGTGCTATTAGATCGGTCGTGCCGATTTGAAACGTGGCCTCAAACCAAATGACCAGATGCTTTAGAGCCACTTAGCAGACCGGAATTTTAATTCACTTTCGTATTGCGATCATTAATCATGAAATTATGTTAACCTGCCTTAACATTGGTCTCAGCACCAGCATGTTGAGGACATGACGATGAATCAGTTCAAGTATGTCGAGCCAATGTTGGGAACGATATCTGTAATATTTTACCGCATGTAAATTGAAATGTGGGACGCTGACATCAAATTATTTCTGTAAACGTAATGCACAGTGTAAACATATGCGGATGAACGTATATCAAGAAAGCTTTGCGAGGATGTCAAATACAAAATATTTGTGCTAATATTTCGCTCATGATTTAAATGCTGATGAAGACAGTTTACAATTGTTGTAACTTGCCCTGTTGGGACTGATGGATATTGGGTTTGTCCATAGGTTAGGTTAGGTCTTGCCCAGGTTAGGTTAGGTTAGGTTAGGTTAGGTTAGGTTAGGTTAGGTTAGGTAAGGTTAGGTTAGGTTAGGTTAGGTTAGGTTAGGTTAGGTTAGGTTAGGTTAGGTTAGGTTAGGTTAGGTTAGGTTAGGTTAGGTTAGGTTAGGTTAGGTTGGTTGGGTTAGGTATGTTGATAAAAACCCAACCTGCAATATATTAGGACGTGTTAGTTAAACGAAGTTTCAAGTTAAGATATTATGGACAATGTTTTATCACACACAAGGATGTTATGAGAAGGCTGGATGTTTGGAGGCAGCACTCGTGGTTGAGGAGCGAGGAGTGGATCTCGTTGTCCTGAGTGCGCGTGACAGGAGTGGACTATCGCGACTTGTAACCAGGAGCGCTGCCTCATAACGTCACGCATCCACATGCAATGTCCTAGTGGCTACATGATGTCTTCGAGAATCCCAAGATATCATGCTTATATCAATAATCCTAGAAATTTTGTAGCTTCATCGACCTAACGCGGCCTGGTCCAGCCAATAATGTAACTTTCTGTTGCACGTATGCAGGAAAGCAGCACTATGACAATTTTTTGAAGGGTGGAATGCAGTATCTTCGAGGCACCTTCTTGCAAGCTCCAGCGATCTCATCACTCGTAATTTTCATGCAGCTTTGCAATGTCACCAAAATTTCATCTCTTTCATCCCATTACAATGGGCGATGGCAATCATGGGTCAGTGTTGTGTTCGTGTTGTAGCTCTTGCGTTTCAGTTTCTTGTTTCGTCCTTTGTGGTTGTAGTACATGAAGTTCATTTCGAAGGGGCTGTGTGTTTGATTCTCGCCTCTAAGTATCTGCTCAGCAGGGCTCGTCGCGCTCATCTTGAACCGACCATCCAAGCTGTGCCAGTCGGGTTTATCAGATGATTTTGTCCGCGGCACTTTTTTCCCAGCCGGGGCTGCGGGGGTCTTTATGTGTCATACAATGCTTCTGCGTGACAGCCCCAGGCGAGGTTGCCCCCCGTGGTCAGCTGCCCCCTCGCCGTGACCTGTGACCCATGACCGATTGCTGACCTTTCCACGCTAGTTGGGCCGGACAGTTTGCTCGTTTTGGGACCGATATTTAGTGCTGCTGGCCTTGCTCGTAGAGCCTTTCCCCTAAACCACGGGTTCAACAGCAAAGGTTGCCAATAATTCATAGACAGATATTCCAATAATCCACCATCACCAATCACCAATCATCAAATTTTCCTGACTTCAGACTTTGCCCGCATTGCGCTCGGTCTGACTCCCCTCAGTTGAACGTCCGCCTCCATTGTCCTGCCTAAAATACCCTTGCAGTGGCCCAAACCCCATCTGCACTGTCTGCCCATCACCCTGCCCCTGTCCCTCTCAAACCCCTTCTTTAGTCATCCCCTGTGCCACGCCGTCCCCCAGTCTTCTGGTTGGTCTCTGTGGGCAGTAACCTGACCCCGCCGTGTACCGTCGGTGACCTGGCCCCGCCCCGTCCCGTTACAGTTTGAGGGCTGCAACAAGCGGTACAGCCGGCTAGAGAACCTGAAGACGCACCTGCGCAGTCACACGGGCGAAAAGCCGTACGCCTGCGAGTTCCCCGGCTGCAACAAGGCCTTCAGCAACGCCTCCGACCGCGCCAAGCACCAGAACCGCACCCATTCCAACGAGGTGAGCTACCGGCTGTCACACGCTATCCGCTGCTGCTGACTGCGGGTCAGGTGACTGCGGGTCAGGTGACTGCGGGTCAGGTGACCATGGGTCAAGTGACTCCATGGGTCACCAGTGAGTCAGGTGGCAGCGCTCCGAGCGGGGATCATCGGGCCTGAAGGAGTCGGCGCGAGACCACCTCCCGACCATTTATCAAGACCCGCGCCGTAGCTGGCGGGAGGGACTGCTGCACCGGAACCGACGGTGGCCTCATGCGTTGTAACGCAGCTTAGGACACGGCGCTGGTCTGAGAGTCGCCGCCGTGTGCCGCGCGCGGTGCGCTGCTGCTGACTGCGGCGGGAATGTGGCGTCCTCGCGCGCTCGAGCCGTCCGGTCACGAGCCAGGGGTTCTGTTCCGCACCGCGGCTGGCGGCGTGGTCTGTTGCGGGCGTCCGATTTCTGTCCAGCCGCCGACCGCTGGACTTGAGGCGCATGCCTGGCCTGACCCCAGACGCTGACGCCAGCTGTTTGTTCCACGGCAGCCGAACTGGACCTAACGGTGAGCTTCGCACACGCGCCGGTCGTCTGTCCGCCCGTCTGTGCATGCGAGCCTGCATGTCGGTGTGCGTCCGCGGCGCCCGAGCACGGCGGCGTCAGCGCTCACCCAGGCCCCGCCCACTTTCAGAAACCGTACGTGTGTAAGGTGCCCGGCTGCACCAAACGCTACACGGACCCCAGCTCGCTCCGCAAGCACGTCAAGACCGTGCACGGACCGGAGTTCTACAAGAACAAGCGGCACAAGGGCCTGCCGGATGACGGCGGCGCGGCCGGCTACGGCAGCCCCGGCGACGACAACAAGCTGACCAGCGTCAGCAGTCCGAGCGTGAAGTCTGAGGACGCCGCGTCGCCCGGGATGCAGGTCCGCTCACCGGGAGAGGGCGGCGGCGGCGCCGGCGGCGGCGGGGGCGGCGGCGGCGGCCACGGCCACGGCTCCACGCCCGAGCAGCCCATCAGCGACAACAACGTCAGCACCACCAACGGCGTCTCCGCCGTGGAAGCACCCTGGGAGATCCCCGAGCACGAGGAGATTGAGGTTAGCCGACACCCCAGCGCCGGCGGTTATCGTCTCGCCCGTAAATTTAATTCCGCCCGCAAACCAGTAACGGGGCACTGAAGTTGCGGGCGCAATTACGCCGCCGGCCGGGCCTTTTGTCTGCGGTGTTTTACTACTCACGCGGCGTGCCGGCGACCGCCCCGAGCTGGCCCCGTTTCCGGTCGCCTTGTACCCTGGTCGGAGCCTGCAGCGCGCTCTTGCACTGTTGTTCTGCCCTTGTGCCGGCGGCGCGGCGGCGGCGAGCGCCGATCGGCCGTGTCGCCTGTCGCGCGGCCCGTAAACAGAGTCCGCCGACGCGCGCCGCTCTGTTTATCCCGCGGAGGCGCCGGCCGAGCGGCGCACTGCGGCCCTGGCACGACGCGCTTCACGCTGACGGCGGTGCTCGCGCGCCCAGCTGCGGCCGCTCGGCTGCTTGGTCAGTGTTTTCGTAGCGTATTTCTTACGCGAGTTGATGACGTTCTTTCGGACGGGTGTGCGGCGGGAGGTTTGGCGTAGTCTGGTGGCACCGCGTCGCTCTGGTGTTAGAGTGCACTCTTGCGCGTGGGTGTTGGCTTCTCTGGTGCCAAGGGCACGTCCGTGCTATTCTCTGGGGGCCAGGGCGACCGTGGGTCGTTCCCGTCCGGTGCTAGCTGAAACCCTGACCCCGCCCTGACCCCGCCCTGACCCCGCCCTGACCACGCCGTGTGCCCGCCAGGTGCCGCTGGAGCCGCTGGCAGTTCAGGCGGCGGTGGGCGCCAATGGGGCCCACTCGAACCGGCTGCGGCTGCCGCCCGGCCGTCTCCACCGGCCGCGGCTGCAGGCCAAGAACGTTACGTCGCCCGCCGCCCTGCTGCACAACGGTAAGCGGTCGCCGGACGGCCTGCGACGGTCAACGCAGTCGGTGTGGCCTGCTGGGCTGAGCGGGCGTGGCCATGGCTAGCACCGGTAGGCAGAGGAAAGTGATGTGATGGCAGATCCGTGTGGGGACGTGTTGAGATGCTCCGATTCATGTTCGTGCTTGATCTTGCTCTCGAACCAAGGCCATGATCTGAACAGCGGCCTGCCGGGTGCTCGTCGGCGCTGACGGTTGCCCTCTGGCCGCAGGTGGTCGCGGGCCCAACCTCATGGACATCAACTACCGGCTGCAGCACATGCGAGTGTCGGGCGGCCCGGCGGGTTGCGTGCCGCGCCGCCACAGCTACGACTCCGCGCCGCGGCCCGACCTGACGTGCCGGCCGCCCGCCGACGGTGGCGCCACCACCCTGCTCGATCCGCGCCGCGACAGTGGCGCCACCGTCAGCACTTACTACGGCAGCTGGAGTAGCGCGCAGCAGAGCCGGCGCGCGTCGCAGCTGTCTCAGGCGTCGGCGGCCGGCTGCGTAGCGCCGCCAGCCGGTAGCCTGTATGACCCCATCTCGGCGGACGTGTCGCGCCGCTGCTCAGGCATGTCGTCCGCCTCGGCCACGCCCAGCCAGCTGAGCGCTGGCATGGCGGCCCAGCTACAGCGGCTCCACCGGCGCAGCTTCGTCAACCAGCAGATGGGCAGCATGGCCAACCTCGTGGTCCAGGTGAGGGAGCGGCCGCGCAGGTCATGTCAGCTGTCCTTATCGGCGCGGTTTCCTGAACACTGTGATGTTTTTGCGGCTGAAAATGAAACTTTTGGCCTCGAGAAAATAATTATGTGACACCTGAATCGGACAACTGTGTGCGCCGCTAGTGGAAGTTGCCATCCTGTTTTAAAAAGCAAAGCATCGCTGGTAGTTTTTGCATTTGTGCACACTTCGTGACGCATCAATCAAGTCATGGGTTTTGTCCGAACCTGCCGCGCTCGTCGGTCTCCGTCCGCCCACGCGCCGTCCCGCTGACGCCTGCCCCCCCCCCCCCCCGTCGCCAGTCGCAGTCGCAGTGTCACGCGATGGAGGCGCGCGGCCTGCCGGGCCGGCCAGCCTCAGTCTCTGCCGGCGGCGAGCAGCGGCGCGCCTCGGACCCCGTGCGCCCCATGGGCCGACCTCCGCGGCCGCTGGGCCCGCCGGCGCCGCCGCGCCGCCGCGCCAGCGCCCGCCGCCACCCCAACCAGGAGGTGGTGCTGGATGAGCTGTCCGAGGATCAGTACGTCGAGGACCGGCTGGTCATCCCGGACGAGATGGTCAGCTACCTACAGCAGGTGGGCGCCGCGCGCTGTGGGGCGCGGCTCGCTGGGTGACGCGGCTCGGGCTCCTGGGTGACGCGGCTCGCTGGGTGACGCGACTCGGGCTCCTGGGTGACGCGGCTCGCTGGGTGGCGCGGCTCGCTGGGTGACGCGACTCGGGTTCCTGGGTGACGCGGCTCGCTGGGTGACGCGACTCGGGCTCCTGGGTGACGTGGCTCGCTGGGTGACCCTGGGTGACGCGGCTCGCTGGGTGACGCGGCTCGTTGGGTAACGAGGCTCGCTGGGTGACGAGGCTCGCTTTGTGCTTTGCTGCAAAACATACGATCAACTTAAGCGCGATCTCCTCGTGGTGTGCATTTTCAAGTTGTCTTACTTGCGCGGTCAGAGCGATGCTTATCTCTGCTGTCCTGCAGACGATAAACATTTTAAATGGGCCGCGCCGTACTCATGTGGCGTGTCTTGATTGGCAGACGAATGCGACCGGCCAGCCCGGAGCGGGAGCGGCCCAGCCTGGCTCGGCGCCCACCAACGCCAACCAGACGAGTCCTCGCCACCACCACACGCAGCCGAGTCCGGCCTACAGCAACCAGCCCATCAACAGCCCTGCCTACAGCAACCAGCCTGTTAACAGTCCCGCCTACAGCAACCAGCCCATCAACAGCCCTGCCTACAGCAACCAGCCTGTTAACAGTCCTGCCTACAGCAACCAGCCCATCAACAGTCCTGCCTACAGCAACCAACCCGTCAACAGTCCTGCCTATAGCAACCAACCCATCAACAGTCCTGCCTACAGCAACCAGGCGGTCGCCAGCCCGTTCAATGGCCAGCTGGGCTCGCCGGCGTACCAGCCAGCGCCGGGCTTCGGCCAGCAGCCGGTGGCCAGCCCGGCTGCGGCCGCCACAGCCGGCGTCTGTCAGCAGCAGGCGGCCCAGCAGGTGCAGATGGGCTGCCAGATACCCATGCACGGCTGCCAGACGCTGCAGGCCCATCAGCAGCAGCAACAGCAGCAGCAGCAGCAGCAGCAACAGCAGCAACAGCAGCAATATCAACAGCAGCAACAGCAGCAACTTCAGCAGCAGCAACAGCAGCAACAGCAGATGCAGCAACAGCAGCAGCAGCAGCAACGTCAACAGCAGATGCAGATGCAGCAACAGCAGCAGGTAGCTGGTGCCGCCATGTGCCAGGGCATGGGGCAGTGGCAGCAGGGTCAGGCTGGGCCGCACGCGTGCGCGCCGGGTTACCACTGCCAGCCGGGCTACATGCAGCAGCAGCACCAGCAGCAGCAGCAGGGGTACCCTGCGCAACAGCCGGTACCGGCGTCGGTGCTGACCGGCGGTGTCGTACATGCCTGCGGCCATCCGGCCCAGCCGAACCTGGCGCCGATGGCGTACCAGCAGCCGTGCGCGGGCTGCCAGCAGGCGGTGCACCAGCAGTGGGCCGCCGGCTACCCGGGCTACGGCACCGGGCCGGCAGCAGCACCGGCAGCAGCATGTCAGCAGCAGCAGCATCAGCAGCAGCAGCACCAGCAGCAGCACCAGCAGCGATCTCAGGCACGGCCCAAGGTCGAGCCGGCCGGCCGGACGTACATGAACGCCGATAGCTACCACCGGACGCTCGAGTACGTGCAGCGGTGTAAAAAGTGGAGTGGCGCAGAGCCGAGCGCTGGCGCCGGCGCCGGCGCCGGCGCCGCGCCCGCCTCCGCCCCCGCGCCGCCGGCCGCCTACAGCGCCGCCGCCAGCGACGTGTCGGTCATGGACAGCGCTAGCAACGTGGTGCCGCGCCCCAACATGGCCGTGCACGACATGAGCTCCGCCATGACGGCGCTGGCGCGCGAGAACCGGTACCTGCACATGTGAGCGCCGGCCGCGCCGGCGTCGGGCGTCGCCCTGTTGATATTGAGGTAGTGAGGGGGCGGGGCGCCCCCTCGGAGATCTCCACTGTGAGCGTGTGTAAGATAGAGCGGCGGGCTGGCTCGCGCCATTCCAGCCGCGCCGCCCGCCGAGTACCGTGTGCCAAACGGCCGGCCGGGGCGCGACCGGGCCGGAGGCGCTGCCCCCGACCCCGCCCGAGGGCACGGCGCGTGCGCCCCGGGTCGCCGACCGGGCTCGGGCCGCCCGCCCCGGCGTAACGTGACATGTTGACCTCGCTTGTGTCATGCCACCTGTCGTGAGCGTACCGTTCTGTGGGAACAGAGAACCCCGCTCTGGTGGCGCCGGAGCGACTCGGAACGGCGTGGGGATAGACTCGTCATTTTTAAGGCCTGACGTCGTAGTGCTCGACTGTGTCAGTAGAGATCCATTGAGAGAGATTGATGCCCTTTTCCGCAAACCGAAGTTCTCGCCGCATTGACTGCGCCCTGTTGCAGACACGTTCTTTTTACGTTATGTCACTCAACAACCTACGTTGTTTAATTCTGCCCCAAGCTCCAAAGCAAATGTTGACATGTTCCTTTAGTAGTCGGGCGCGGCCAGATGTTGGGTTTTACGAGCGGCGGGGCAGCGGTGCCAAACATTGTGCCTCTTGTTGGGTCCCCATGTGAAAAGGGAACATGTGAAATATTGACGTCATGTACATGCTATATGATTTATCGTGAAACAAAGTGCGTTTTGTTATGAAGTTGCATTTTTTCTGGACATGCGAGACCATCACGAGACCTGGTTTGTACCAACAACTGAACAGAAAGGCTCGCCGTCAAAGAAATCGGCTAGAATATTAGAACTACAGAAGCATAGGGAACTTGGGAACTGGTGAAACATCAAGTGAGCAGATTCTGATCAGTACACCCAGAAAAATCAAGGCCCAACAGTTTTGTAGCGTGTAGCACCTGTGTGACTGGGGCTGCACGAAGGAGAGCAAACTTCGTGACGGCCCAACGGAACCGATGGAAGAATGCGCTATATATGTACCAAATACGTTGTAAAACAATCAATTACAGCATCTAGCTCCCAATGGTCGCCAGCGGTGAGGGTATTCTTGGATCCTCATCTCGTGCGGATCGCGTCCTGACACGCGTGCGGCCAAGGACTCGCTCCTCGATCCCGCAGCGGTGACTCGGACTCCTGTTCAGAAGACAGGGGTGTGATCGTGCGACCGACTCGTGTGTGACGGCCGCCCGCCGCTCGCGAACGATGAGTTAGCGTCTTGATGGACAGAGGGAGGATTGTAATATGCACACAAATTAGACTGAAAAACGCGATACAAAACAGCGTGGGATTGGGCCTATCACGTCATGTCATTTTTTGTTTGCTCTGGAGCAAACGAGGAGCTCACCCTTCCTGCCAGGATGAGAGGCAGGCGACGCCATACAGCCTCAGCAGTGGGGCGTGGAACCGCGTTACCGAGCCCTTATGATAACAAGTAAAAAATCCAGTTCCGAAATGCAATCCTTGCGATTAAGAAAACTGCTGTGAAGATCGCACGCCGACAATATCGGCTACAGCCCTTTGCCTTCAGCGTAAGACTGTGTACTACAGAAGGGATGACTGAACGGGACGGTACCCCACAGTCTATTTTTCATTTTCTGCCGCTCATTTTACAGCCAAAGCTCTGTGGAATTGTCGCGACCTAAACGTAAGTTCTTAAAAAAGGTTGTTAAGATGGAGAAGAAGAATATGCTGTAAAAATGTATGCCTGTCGGCACAGAGCATTTTCAAAAATGACTGGAATGCCTAGCCAGGGGAGGCGCAACTTTACATACCTTCGGGGGGGGGGGGGCGGTTGAGCCCCCCATACTGCCTTGAGCCTCCTCCCCCAATGCGGCTCTGAGCCTCCTCAATGCACATGATCAAGGAGGGAATACTAGGGCCACACAAATACAGAACAATTATCTGAGCCACTGGCATGGTGGGTAGTAGGTACATAGGCACGTCACTATGAGTGCTACGTTAATGTACAAAATAGTTTCCTGTATGTACCTAGTGTTTTTGCCGTGCTAGCTAGCTCCTTCATATGTTAAGCCAGTTCATAAATGTTTGGCAAGCATTTCAAATGATAATACCTGGATTGGGATAAACAACATTTGACTGCCGTTTGTGGCAGCTTTTGAAAGTAGAGTGCGGCCCAGATAAAAGCTAACGCAAGATTTCTGCAAGAGTGACAAATGCATTTGTCGCATAATCGTAGCTGCGGTGGTTATAAAACAAGATCAGCTACAGCGGTAGTTGTTAGAAATCCCTTACTAAGATTACTTCGATGCTTTCTGTGAATTGCATCCCACTTTAAACTTTTCCTAGGAAGACAGCCCACATTAACTTGAAATTAGAATTAGTTTCTCGACGAAACAATTTTAAATGTACTGAAATTAATGCTTTTTAATCAAACCTCCAAGATGAAAATTAAAGTAGCCGAAATCCGGAGGGAGCTTAGGTTTTGGTTTAAGTTAGGTAAACTTGTTCGGTTGAGCCCCCACTATTATTGTACAGTGACGCCCCTGTCCCAGCGCTTGCGTTGTTGTTCTTAATCTGTATGGCCAACATCAAACGTCCTTTAACTTATGTTCAAAATGCTTGCAACAAGTAAGTTGTTCAGTGCATTGAGGAACATTGTTCACCTAGATAAGACAGTGGTATCAGCCTTATTCCTCGGAGAAAAATCAAGAGAATTGGGATATAGTTACATAGATAAAGGTTAATATCGCCATTCTCATAATATCTTGGTCTATATCTCCATTCTCCTGTTTTTTCTGTGAGGAATAAGGCTAATACTACTGCCTTATCTATGTTTGCAACATGCTTCAACTCTACACTAGTGCCATCTCGCCCACATGACGCAGGCAGCAGTGGTACGGCGACCATCGGACAGATGGCTCTCAGTGTCTGTCCTGTTGACGTCGTTTGACAGGATGGGCGTCACCAATGTGGAGCACGGAAAGTCGATCAGATCGGCCAAAAGATCCGGCGTACATTCAGCTTTTACTCTTGAACCATTTAATACCGTGAAAAAATGCCATGTCCCGGAGGAAAGCGAAGTCCGAAGATAGTGGCGACTTCAGTCAGGAAGATAGCGGCTACGTCGGCGACTGAAACGTCGCCGCGGACCAGTTACGCCTCTTAGCCTTCCAACGCAGGTCACGTATGCGCGTAGGTGTCGCCATACCAGGACTGTGCGGTGTGGTGAAGGAGCATGCGCCGCTGCCGGGTGTGACGATACTGTCGGCCCGTGTTTCTCTCACCCCTTTCGCGAAGCCCCGGATCTCCTTTGCTTCGTCATACTGGGCTTATATGGTGCGACGAAGAGATTGAAGCGCCACGTTTGAAGTGCCATGTTGAAGGCCCCCAGGCGCCTTTTGTGGAAGTACAATTTGCTACCTCTGTGGTTTGTACGTAACCAGGGGTGTCAATTTTTGTAAATGATTGCCGGGGGGGGGGGGGGGCGAGCCGAAGGTCCGACAACTTACCCCCGCCCCACTTTGTCTTACCGTATTTAGCCCACTTTATTTTGATCAAAGGCATAAATGTTTTCACTCTTTATATGATTTATAAAAGTCTTTGATTTAAATAGCATAACAATTATGTAGGGTTGGATCCAGTAAGCAGACACTGGACACACGCGTCTCTTCTGACTCGGCACGTGAAGGCGCACGTTTTAGAAGCCACTTTGGGGCGCCGATCGCGCTCTACTATGACGGTGATGGGAAGCGGCACGTATTTTAGTTGTGGGGGACGGGGACGGGGTTAGCCGTGAAGGACTTAGGCCGTCCCCATACTCCAGAGCTGGTCACTTTACCCTTACGAACTGTTGCGTGTCTTATGGCGCTAGGTATGTAAAGTTTGTTGCATCGTTTATCCGCTCAGGTGTTACGATTTTTATCTTGTGGTGAGAGCAGCCATGCCTTTTTTATGAGAGTGGTACGGGACACAACTACGCTGAAAGATGGAAGAAGATAGTCTTTGTGTTATAATCATCTTTTATCAACGTTTTTTTTTGGTATTCCAGCCAAAACATGGGGGAAACCAACATTGGGGGAGGGGGCGGGCGGCAACTCAACATGGGGGTCAGGGCCCTCACAAAAGAATACAAATCGACACCCGTGTACTTAACAGCCTGCTGAATTTCCAAACATGCTTTCGTTTCACCTCGACTTTTGTAAACTAATTGTGTCAGTAGTCCAAAACTCCGATATCTGGGCTTGGGCTGGCTCCAATTAAACTTGTCAGGGCGGACCTGAGCCACTGTAAAATATTATAATTTATTAACTATTTCCCTCATATCTATTTGAAGTGACGGAGAAGTGATTGCATGGCTGCCTTTGTGCTCTGCTGACATGAAGTGGTGTGGCTTCGACAGCCTGTTGCTTATCGGATGACCACGTCAATCCATGTCACAATGTGGGACATCTCAAGGAGAGTAGAGCAGCGCGGTCTGTTTTGTGGATGAAGCAGATAAGTTGCCGGCAGCGACCAGCCCGTCCAACTTCTAAATGGCACACTTTGCCGCCCAGTGTCCGCCCTAGCTAATGGATGGGGCCTTTCCGAGCCGTCCCAGCGCCAGATCTGCGTTTAATGAGCCATGCCAGAGTCGCGGATGGCAGGGTGCTATCATTCTGGACCAATCAGCTCTGCAGTTCAGATGGTTTTTATTTCCTACATTATATTTTATGGATATACGCAGCCGACACCAGTTATGTGCCGGTTAGCCATCGTTCAGGGGCGCAACTAGGTTTGTTAAACGGAGCTCAGTGAAAGCCATGGGCGTAGCAACTGAGGGGGGGGGGGGCAGGGGGGCCGTGGACCCCCACTTTTTAAGGCGGGGGACCAGCAGTGTTAACCGCCCCCCCCCCACTTTTCAGATTAATGTTGTGTTTAGCTTACGTTTGCACCACACCAAACATGCATGCCGATTTACCTAGTTCACCAGCCATCTTCCTCAAGACGCATCATCTTTTCCATTTGCTTATTGGCCATCTCTTAGTGTCACAACCGCAGGCCGACAGCACGAGGCTTATGGAGACTACAACGCTTGGCGTCGAGGCTGTTGTTGCCATGACTTGTGAGCAGCGCGCATGTTCACAACCACATTGCATAGTTTTTATCAATAATGAATTCTGACTGAATCTTGAACATTTTAAGACTATCATGGATGCCATGTTAATAAAACAATTTTATCATCCACGCCGATTTACCTAGTTCACCAGACATCGCCCTCAAGGCGCGTTATCTTTTTCGTTTGCTCATTGGCCGTCACTTAGTGTTACAACCGCAAGGCCGACGCCGCACGGACTGGAGACTGCAACGCCGGGCGTCGAGGCTGTTGTTGCTATAACTTAGGAGCGCGCCTGTTCAAGACCATATTACATAGATTTTTTTATCAGTAATCTGTTATGACAGGATCTTGAGCATATTAACGCGAACATGGGTTAGCCATGTTAATGCAAATTAGGAACCCCATTTCATCCACAATCTACATTCAGGGAGTACTCAATATCTCTGAAGAACACATAACAACATGGAAATGGAAGTCTATATGACAATTACTGGGCCACCTGCGGCGATCAGGGATATTGTTGCGTTAATGAGGGTTCCTGTGCTGATCCGGGGCCATCTGCGTGGGTCAGAAGGTCTCCCGTGTCAGGGGGGGGGGGGGACAGTGTGAAATAATAT